TAGCGTATGTTGCGTATGGCACATATTGTTGGCTATGGCTTAAGCAATCCGAATATGAATACATTTCGTTTTTGTGTTTTGCATTCATCATTTTTGTTAGCAGCCTGGGATTAGTGCCAATCCCTTACATTTTATGCGTTGAAATTTTTCCGAAGAAAGTAAATGACCAACGAAATTTGTGAATTTTCATTTATTCCCATTTCATTATATTCACTTTTATTTTATAGATTCGTAAAACATGCCTTACATTGGCTGTGTCAATGATGTGGATTGTTTTATTCGGACTTGATGCAGCATTTCCTGCCTTCTTGAAATACGTTCCTCTTCATTATTGCATGTTCATTTTGGCAATTCTGACTTTAATAAATGCCATTTACGGCATTATTTTTATACCCGAAACGCGAGGGAAGTCCTATGAGGAGATTATGCAATTGTTAGATAATTAGATTATTATTATTTATGCATCTTTAGATAATAAATGAAATAATTGACTTTTTGTATGCATGTTGTTATATTTTTTTCTTCTTTGCTGTATACCGATGCACTGGTATCCGCATTTTCAAAACTCTTTTTTCGATGGTTTTTTTGTGAAAGCGAACGAATTTTCTTTGATCCAACCTGTGCACTATACAACATTTTATTCCGAACAATAATGGGTAATGCACGAGTTTGTTGAAAATTAGATATGTCAAAATGTGAGATGTGATGTTATGTACAAAAAATATTGATAGAGAGCTAGTACAATCACTAACAAGATATTATATGCAAAGAAGCAATAAGATTACTGCCTAAAATGATGAGAAAATAAAATTCACGTATAGTTGGCGCTATGGGTGTAATCATTGGTTTTTTCTATAGAGTAAATTTTTCAAAAAAATAATTTTATGTGCCGCAGATTCTGAATTTTGTGAAAAAATTACCCTGTGCAAAGTTTCACGTCATTACGATATCATATAGGCTTGGCTCCCACACAAAAATTCACATTTTTAGTATTTTTGTATGAAAAGTACGTCGACAATTATTTCTAACGCAAAACTAATGTCAGATTCAGTTAGCTCGTGAATTTAAAGAGGTAATGTCAAATGCCTTTATAAAGTCCACAACGCAGTTTCTTACACTCTTTTACTCACACACAAACAAAACAAAATGTCAAGAAACAGCTGTTCGAGCGAACCATTCATAACCAACTTCATGCTACTTGTAGATTTGGAATGAAAATGATGTTTGAAATTTCTTTGATATTTCGAAAAATGAACTAATTATTTTGGAATTTTTTTATCTGTTTAGAATAAAATAAATGTTTAAACATTTTTTGTACTTACAATATTTTAAACATTCACTTATTATTTAATTTCCACAATTTCTATCAATTCACAAATTATAATTCTTAGCACTAGCATGAAGTTGGTTATATGTCAACCTTTATTCATTCGTATAAAAA